ATCCACACTGCTGTTGGTATAAGAAGCACTGTAGGAAATAACATATTCTTTGTAGAATAGAAAGGTAAAAATTATGGTGGTTTTGAGTGTTTGTGATCCCATGGTGTATTTCCAACTGTGTTTAGCTCTTGTTGCCTTGCAAATTCTCATTTGATTGATTGCCTCCAGCTTACTTAAAGTTCCCTCTGAGTTTCAACTAATATAATGCTTTCTTCTTCCTCCTCTAAGTGTTTTGTGTTGCTGCTGTATGTTGTCATGTAATACCTCAGATGAGTATCTCATCACAAATATGAAATGTTGGCAACATTTGTCAGTAGAATATGGAAGCTGCCCTCAAATGGGTCTTTTCAAACAAACTGAAAATGTATGAAATTTACAGATAAAATCATAACAGGGCCAGACCATTGATTAATGTAAATCTCCTTATAATTGCTGACATAAATGGGAAAGTGCTGATTTACATCAGCTGAGAATGCAGCTGGTGAAATTAAAAGAAAATAAAGGGTTTAGGGGGCTAGTGATGCTGGTCTCTTAATGTAAGCACAAACTTTCACTCAAGACCATGTCATTGTTAATATGTAACTCTGCAGTGCTACAGGGGTCAGGCTATTCCAGACAGTGAAACGCTATGGTACCTCCTACAAAGAAAATAGGAGCAGAACCAGGTATTCTTTAATTAAATCCTGGATCAGGTCTTCCGCTGGGGTGGTTTGGCATAACTCCATATACTTCAAAGGAAATAGACTGATTTACAGTGACTGAGCACTTGGTCTTTTATTAATGTATACTTCTGTATATTGAAATTGTACAGCTTGCTTTTCATAACCATAAATAGTTCAACATTGGTGAGACAGAAGTTGTTCTAAACTCTATGAAGTAGTAACTTGAAGACTGTGCCAAAAAGAATAAATTAACAGGAAAGTTAGGTTACTTAGAAGAATGGTGTATAGGGTGGTTTGTTTGTTTGTTTGTTTGTTTGTTTTCTCTCCTTTTTTTTTTTTTTAAATCACTGCAGTATAGATCTAGCCAAACTGTTTTTTAAGAGTGGCTTCAGAGCAGGCTAGGGTAGCTTGTGGTGAGTTTTTGCACTGCTGTACTTGGAGAGCTCGATATACTATGTTGTAGCCAGAACATACATTAGGCATCTGTAAGAGTTATCTCTTGTGCATTGTGGAATACTATATTATACTATATTGCATGTCTGCGTGCTTGCCAGATTCAGAATTAAAGGTGTTGTACACCAGTTATTTGCAGCACCCCTGTGCAGCCACTTTCCTCTGTTTTTTTTAAGTTTTCTTATAATTTATATACTTATTTTCTCCTTTCCTCTCTCTGATTTGCAGCATCAGTGTCCCTGTGTCCTGGATGAATATAAAGAGTTTATCTTTCTTTTGGCCCCTGAAGCAGATCAGATGTAAAACGTACAAGGAGACAAGGAGTCCTAAAGACGTTAGTTATCCCTCTCTTCCAGACAGACAGCGATAGCCTAAACATCTGCCTAAGAACATGTGGGACCCCAAGAAAAGATGCAGTATGCTTGCCCCCGCTGTTCATGTCGGGTATGGCAAAGGACTCCTCAGAGAGTTCTGTGCCACTGTGGTCCAGCATCTGCTTAATTTAGTCTGGGCTACTCTGTTCCAAGCTCCCAGAAACTGAGCTCTTGTCTATGCACTGTGCTAAATACTTGTGGGTGTTTTAATAGTGTCATAGTCATCTTAGTGTTTCCATGCACTGATTTTTGTGGTGTTACATTAGCAAATATAATATTGCACTAACATGTTCTTTTCACCTCTTAATATAGGAGGTACATTTGATTTAAACATGCTTAGCAAAACAACGCAAGATTGTATTTTGTTCTGGTTTAGGACATGTTTAGGTAGAAAAGACAAATATTAAGTCTCTGTCCAAACTGGTCCCATCTTACAGTCCCCTGCAGTTTACTTGTTTAAGAACAGGGCTGACATGTTAGGCCACTGAAGGCTGCCAGAAATATTAATGACGCTTTGAGAGAGTAACCCAAAAGACAGACTTGCAAGCTGATGCCACAGTATCTATTATTGGCAGAAATACAATCCCTCGAATAATAAATGAGCTCTTAACATCTGTCAGGTTGCTTGTTTTCTCAGGGGCCCAGTGACCGGGCTGCATGCAACAACATGAAGGCCTTCTGAGGAGCCTACATCAAAATTAATGGTTTAATCAGCTTGCAGGGACAACTAAATAATTGGGCACACCTGGGACTGTCCTAAAGGGCTCCTTTATGCTTAGCAAATGCTTTCTAACTAGTTTCAGTAAAGTGTGGATCATTGAAACCTGAGTGTTGCAGACTGGATCAGAGAACTTAGTTTGATGGACTGTTTGGCGTGTGTGAGAGCTTGAGCATAGGTATCGACAGCATAAGTGAGTATCAGGAATAGATAAGGAATCAACTTTTAGAAAAAGCTATAAAGGCTTTACTAGTTATATACTGAATACTTTATAGGGTTTAGCCTGGCAAACTAGCAGCTACACAGAAAGGTGTAAGGGCAGCCTAAGTCAAGTCATTCCCATTTTAGATGCAACCTATGTTTGGAGCCTAAATATTAGGACCTGATGCTATGCAAGGAAATCAGTATTGCCTCAGCATTCAGTAGCACACTCTTTAGAAAGTTACCCTTTTTTTTCTGTATTCTGAAGCTCTCTATTAGATTGCTTATTGGGCAAATAACCCTTAATGGCTGATAGCAGCAATAGAAATGTTTTCAGATGTTGCAGTTTAAAGTGTGTTTTCTTTTTCTTCCTAGAGACTCAGTAAATTTTCATCTCAAATTTAGGTGACATAAATGACAAGTTATGCTCTGAAAAATGTGCTTTAACTATTTTTGCAAGGATGGCTGAGCTCCTAAATTATTTGGCAACCTCCAAAAATTTGTCTCCCCTAATGAGCTGTATGATAACAACCTCTTACTCTCTTTCCAAGCCTGTAGTAGTAGGTGTGAATCTTCCACCTGCTGCAGAGCACACTGGAATTAATAGCAAGGCTGTGAATTGCAATTGCCTTAGGCATTAAGGCATAGCTTATGTACAGTCTAGTATAAAATTTGTCATCGTATGAGGCCAAGGCAAATATGTATCTATGAAATAGATCTTAAGGAGTAAATACACTGCCTAGTAAATTGCTTGCGTAAAGGGAAGGTCCCCAGCCATTCCAGGAGCCTGTTTCCTAGCTTGGTCTGCAAGCACTGCTGGCACAATGCAACAGTAACATCTTTCTTGCTGTCTCTCTTGTAGAAGTCTCTGGCCAAAATATCCCTTTGCACTGAGCTTCAGGTCATCATGCTCCTACTGCTGCTGATTGATTGCTTCTGTTTAGTCTCTGTGCTACGCAAAGGCTAATTCTGCCTTCCTCCGTCCGTGCCCAGCGTAGGCTGTCACATCCTCTGAGTCTCTCAGAAAGCAGAAGATTGGGAGGGCTACACTGCTCACAACGGCCTTTGAGAAAGGCGAGAAGCTGAAGTGAGTTGAATTCAGACTAGATACGCTTCTTTTTTAGCAGACATTGAGAACAGGTATTGTTCAACAGATTTACCTGTTGCTGACTTTCACTTGAAGTGATTGTACATCAAGGAATGCCAGTTTTGCTTTTGTTTTGTTGGTTCCTTTTTCCCTAGGAGAGCTATTTTAGCTCCAGAATTTATGTCCTTGGTGCAGAATTTGCTGTGTGAGGTTCTTTAGGTTATGTGGGAAGTCAGATTTGATTATTTTAATAATAATTTTTAGCTAGTTTGAAATATCTAGTAGGATGGGTGCCTCTCCTGCTTTTTTCATTATATACAAGAGAAAGATGGAGAGCAGTCCTGTCAGTACTAAATGAATTTGTGTGAAAATCCATGCAAAGACTTAAAGCACTAGAGCCCAGACCATTTTCCATAAATTAAATGAGAAGTATTGGTTAAGTTAGCACAGAGTGTGATAAAGCTGCAACAGATCACGTCATGAGACTGCTTTACATAGTGACTGGAATATTGCCAGTTTAAATAAACTTTGTACGTTTATTTGAAAGCATATCTCTGTGCATGCTGACTATTTAATCCTTTAAGCTTTTATAGTGTTTTTCAGAAATGTAGGCAACTTGTTAATGCATATACTGTGACTTTTGAATGTTTGTTTGGGTTTTACATCTTATTTTGATTTGCTAATTATGGAAAATTAAAAAAAATCTTCCTAATGATTCTGGAGTTTGGTTTTATCTTTTTTTTTTTTTTTTTTTAATTTAAAAGTGTGTTTATAAATGCAATAGGGAATCTTAGCTAGGCAGTATTGCATAACTGTCTGTTCAGTATAATGGCATAAATGTTGAGCTGACTGACCTCCATGCAGTGTCTGTTCAAAAGAGTACAGGGAATAATGCTGGGAATTAAATAGCCCACATTTTATTCTGAGAGCTAAAAACCTGCAGTTCACCTCACTTCACAGAATCATAGAATCATTGCTCTAAAATGAGGATAGTATTCAGCAACCTTTATAAATCAGTAATGGATTTGAATGTAAAGACCTGTACAAGAGCAAAAGTACTTATTACATAATAGCAGAGAGACCTAGAGATAGCATTTATTGTTAAAGAGAGAAGATGGTTTAATTGCCTGGGCCATGGTTATGAGCAGTAAGGACTAAGAAAGCAAGAACAGCATTTGGGAGTGTTGCTTTGTGTCTCTAGGAATAACAGCTGAGAAGTCACCAAAGATGTCCATACAGTTCTGAACTCTCAGTGGAAACCATACGTTGTGCTATGCTGCACTGTGGTATACTATACTTTGGCGTTGTTATTTAACATGTATGCGAACCTGCAGCAGTAATTATGTATGCTCTGTAGAACATGAAACTGGAATGGAATAAAATGCACGTTTTAAAAACAGGAACTTCTTTCTGCAGATACGCTGCCCCCCTTGCTGGTGGTGGTCAGGGCAAACTCATTCCCAATGTGAAGACCGAGTAATTTCAAAGTCTTTTTGTCCTTGCAGGTCAAGCCGGTTACTCACAGTAGAATCACTGTGTCAGCACGGTTCCGAAAACCACTCCAGGAGCCCTACACTATTTTGTAAGCAGAATTTTCAATTAGTGAACTGTCATTTTGGGGGGCGTGGTATCTTAACTGCAGATGAGTTTTGTTTAAAATGCTCCTCCAAATTATTTTACTTTGCTTTATTTCAGCCTGATTGCTAACGGAGACCTTATTAGCCCTGTAGTGCGCCTCCTCATTCCCAGGAAAACCCTGAATCACTGGGATCATATTCTCGAAATGGTTACAGGAAAAGTTACTCTCAGAAGTGGAGCTGTTCACAGGTATTAGGAAGCTGAATATTTGCAAGATACATTTGATATGCATAGATATGTTTTTAAAACTCCATAGGTAGATATAATGGATAATTCCTGCTTCATGGGAAATTCCACTACAAGAAGATCAAAATACATCAAAAAGCCACAAAATGGAAATACGTTGACTCCAAGTAACCTTCAGGTTTCATTTCAGCTGCTACTTAAAAAAAGAAAAAACTCAGTTTGTTTCAACTGTTATTTCTTGATTAAAGATTTAGTGAGCAGGCATGTAATAATACAATAGTAATGCAATATATTTAGTATTAATAATTAAGTTACATGTCAGAATAAAATAAATGAGCACAGTAAAGTTGGTGAAAATGTTAGGAATGTGCAATAATAGATGCAGTCCGTGTTCCTTTTAATCATAGAATCATAGAATTGTTAAGGTTGGAAAAGACCCTTAAGATCATCAAGTCCAACCGTTAACCTAGCGCTGCCAAGTCCACCACTAAACCATGTCCCTAAGCACCATGTCTACCTGTCTTTTAAATACCTCC